CAAAGCCCCCCTCTCTTCCTCAAGGATGCACTGACCCAGCATCCTCAGGTTCTGGGAGCTCAGCAGCATGATGTGTCCCCAGAACATGAGGAAGAGCCAGCTTCTCCAGAAGCTATCTTGCACAGTCCAGCCCCCGCCCTCCGGCTTCTCCTGTGAAAAGTGCCAACTATGAAGGTGTGAATGGAGTAGCCCTATTCCCTGGACACAGCTGTACTTCTCAGGGGATCCTTGCTGCCTCAGTCAATCTTAGAGTCTCACGCAGTTTGGACAGCTATTGCACAAGCATTATTTCCACAGTGTCTAAGCTGTGTCAACAGAGATTCCCTCCTAATGTTCCCATTTGCCCTTTCTCGTTCCTTTTTATAGAAACCATCATTTTTTCTTTGGACCTCTTGCAGGACTTTTGAGGAACCAAGCAATGAATTTCCATTCTAAATAGTGAACTGGAAGAGAGCCATTTGTTTAAATAATGGAATACTGGAATTCCTTACTCAAAGATGTCCTCCATGGCTTTTTGTCAAGAGAAGAAAAATGGGATCGAGGAGCCATTTTATATGGGCTTCCCCATCAAGTAATAATAGGAACACCCACTGATAGTCCTTAGGAAAACCAGAAAATGTGCTAGGATGACTCATATCACCTAAGCTGGAATGCAACAGCATGGAGGCATGAGGGAGGAGGGTGGGCGGTCCAGGACATGGGCTATGAGTGTGTTGGTGAAACACTACTTCCCATCCCAACTATGTCTGCAATGGTCCCTGCCAGTCTGCTGAGACCAGCCTCTTTCATACTCGAGGCTTCCAAAGATGCTCCATGACACAGATGCCACCTGGACACTCCTGTTCCTAAGAAGGTGGGAGTTAATTGCCCATCATTATGCATACTATATATTCTCAGAATTACTGGCTGTCATCTCCTCCTGTCTGCAAGAGACTGAGACACCTCCCACTGGCACAGGAGGAAAACAGCCCAGGAAAGAGAATATCGCAAACACATAAACAAGAGAAAATAATATACTTATGACTAGACATTAGGTTTGCTTCCAAGATTCTTGGTTGCTTGTTATTGTGTAGGTTGTGTTTTTAGAAATTAAAAATGCTTGCCTTTTGCCTTTTTTCAGGGTTATATACCTCTAGTGCCCACTCCAAAGCCACTGTTGTTTTGAGTCAGAGTTTTACTCTCCAGCTGCCTGGATCTCACTCTGTAGCCCAGCCTGGCCTCAAACTCATGACAGTCCTCTTGCCTCCACCCCCCGAGGACCGGGGCGTATGTACTGCAGCATGCCTGGCTTCTTTGGCCATTGTTCCATTTCTTTCTCTTCCAAACAAATGTCATTTTAAAAATTATCATAATCATAAAAATGATAAAGGCTAATTTTGAAACAAGGGAAAATACAAAATGTATGAGTCTCCCTTACATATTTGGTGCATTTCTTTCTTAGTATTCCCTCCAAATATAAATAATATAGACTATATGTCACAAATTTATAGCCATATTTTTATAGTCTATTTATTTTTATTTGACCCATTATAAACATTACTCCATGCCATTAAGAAAGCTCAAGTATCATGTATCTTGGCTAGAGCAAGATTCCATCATGATTTTCCATAACTTATTCAACAATGTGTTGTTGTTTCATATTTTTATTGCTGCCAACATTGTTGAATTATATATAAGGTAGCAATTATCATATGTGTACCTAAATCTTTGTCAGTATCTCTAATTATTTCTGCTGAGTTCCCTGGATGTGTAACCCCTTGGTGCTGAATCTGAGCAACATGCTAACTCACTGGACTGTGTGAGAAGCATGCTAACACTGGATCATATGACACATGTTCTTTCAGGCCTCTTGAAAGAGCAGTTGATGTTGGAGGAGTTTGCTTTTGTCCCTCAGCTCTACAATGGCTCTTATGCAGTGAAATAGTTAAAACTGGAGAGCTTCTTACCTGAAATGAATAAGACTCAGAAAGACAAGCGTGGCACACTTTCCTCATATGTGGGACTTAGGGGAAAAAGATAAGAGCATATAAGGGAACTTTTGGGGAAGAGGAAGGGGATGGGTGGGTAAGAGAGGGTAATAGAATATATATGAGCAAAGTAGATGATACATGTGAAGATGTCTCAATGAAACCCATTATTTTGTACCAATATATACCAACAAAAAAGGAAAATAAAATGGCTCTCATACTTAACCTCTTACTTCAAAATTGTCATGAAACTTCTCCAGTCTCATTTTTAAAAGTTGTCAATTTATTATTGTATCTGATGTATGTGTGAGAGTGAATGTGTGTATATGTGTGCAAGTGTGTATGTGAGAGTATATACATGAGTGAGTGAGCATATATGTGTGTATTTGAGTGTCTATGTGTATACATATGTGCATGTGTATATGTGAGTGTGTGAGTGAATGTGTGTATGTGCATGTGTGTGAGTATGTGTATGTGAGTGTGTATATGTGTGAGTGTGTGGGCATGGGTGTGTGCATTCTGCAGTGCAGGTGTGGAGGTCAGAGGGAGTCTGGGGTTATCTTTCTACTGTGGATCCTGGGGACCAGCTCGGCTCATCTGGCTGTCTCATGAGTCCTCTTGCTGGCCTGTACTTGACTCCTTGATAACATTTACTCTCTTGCTCAAAACTCTACTTCTTGGACCTTTGCATCTTTATCTTTCATGTCCCACTTCCTGGACCTTTACCACATCTTTTTAGACCAGGGAAAGATGTGGGCTGCCAGTGACAGGAAACCCTACTAGTGGTGATAATTGAATCACGATGGCTTTTTCTTGCATATGAGAAGATTGCATACAGCTACTGAAATAGGCTTAGTGGCTCTCTGAAGCAAGGGCCAGCATCTCTGAGACTCTCTTGTCCTTATTTCTGCATGTCCCAAGGTCACAATGTAGCTGGTGTAGCCCAGGCATCATATCTACATCCAAGAAAGAATGCAGCAACTTTCCCCTCTTTGAATACCTTTTCCATAGGAAAGGAGTTCTGTAGCAGAAGTCTTAACTGTTTCATTAGCTGAAGGTGAGTCACACATCTGACTTTAAGTTTATCCTCTAGGAGCCTGGAAAATGTGAACCTTCTCAGATCAAGAGACCTCAACCTTCTACACAAGGAGTCAGTGTTAGCAGGGAAAGGAGTGTGTGTGGGGTGGGGTTGGGGCTTGCGATCTGAAAAAAAAAACATGAGTCATAAACAGATCCATGTTCTGCCACACTGTGATGGCAGTTCAAATCCTTCCTCTCTAGTCCTGGACCAGGCACTGTTGAACCTTACCCAGAAAGATGCTACATAAAATAAAGCCCTTGATGCCTGCTTTGTGGTCAGCACTGAGCATCTCCAAGACTTCTTGAGGACACTGAGTAATAGAGTAGATCAGGTCTTAGCTTTGGGTACCCCAAGGCAACCCAAGGTAAAGTGCTTGTTCCTCCTTTCTAGGGAGGTCAGTGTCGGGAAGCAGGAGGCAGCAGAAGTAGACTAGGACCGGAAGGAAGGAGAGCAACGAGGCAAGCCCATGAATGACCCCACCTCTACTTGGCATCAATCATCATTGCTACATCAATCTCTCTTCCTACTAGACCTTTTTCTGAGTGGGTCACTGGAGCTTTTGCTTCTCAGGATAGCCTGCTCTTGGGAGAAATGATAAGAATATGTCTGAGGTGTCCAGAACCCAAAAGCTTCACTTCAGTGTGCCTTCACTGCCTGAATGCCTGGCCCCTTATACATAGGAGTGCCGTTGGATCTCACAGCACGCCACACTTCAGAGGCAGCGGGTGGGTCTGGAGCAGGGGGTTAAAGATGATGAGGTGCTGTTGGAACACCAGGCAAGGCCGCAGGAACTGAGGAGAGACACAAGATGTGTCTGAGGAAGTAGATGAGCACTATATTGTACAAACAGGAAAATTAACACCATCCACTTCCTTGTACCGCGTTGGACAGCCAGTTAGTGGCAGAGTGCTGTCCGAGACTGAATCCAGGGCTTCTCTCACACTGGCTGTCACTGCATGCAGATTCTGCCTGTCTTCTACATCATAGCCCCAGAAACCACTGGTAAAGCCTTGGCCCCTGTAAGCGGAATTTCCTAAGTGAATTTTGCATTAGCTTTATCACAGACTCTGTTCACATTCTCATTGGATGAGGGCTTGGCTGTGTGTTGGGGTCACAAAAACTACAGTTTATTCTTGACTTTATAGTCATTTAAAAAAATGTCTGTCTCTACCAAGCCAAAATCAATTTCCTTTTAATTCCTCAAGTAAAAGTTATTTCAGCGTGCTTAGGAAAAAATTCTTAAATGTGTCTTGAGGCTTTTTTAGTCCATGTAAATAACAACAAAAACAGCAATAACTCATTGGCAGCCAAGGCCACATATTTCTCATCTGGCTGTGAGGACAGGGAGTTGGAGAGTGTGATCTAATCACACATTCACTAAGCGTTTATAGATATGGTAAGGAACTGTCTTCCATATTTAACAAATCCACGTTGATGTTTAGGAAGTCTGGGACTATGATAATGCTGGCAGCTTCCAGGTAGAGAGAAGAATAGAGTGAGAAGATTTAACACAGAGACCAGTATTTAAAAGCTAGGCAAGAGTCAAGCGTGATGATCATGAATGACCTAATCACAGCACTGCCGGGTGGGGAGTGTTGAAGGTAGAGTATCAGAAATTCAAGCTTAGCCTGGACTACATAGGGAGACCCTGCCTCAAAACAATCAGTACGCAACTGACAGTCTTTGCCTAGTTGGTTGTAACCATCAAGGTATAAATACAAAACAGTGTTCTAAGTACTCAATTGATTGATAGGTATTAGATCACTTCTAGACCTCTACATAATATGGGTAACAGTGCTAGCATGTTTCTTTAAGCATCTAAAACAATAATGCATCCTCAAAGGGGGCTTTTGGAATTTAAGACTGAAATTAATGAACTATATGTCTTTACAGATATAGGCTATTCAGCAAATCAATGAACATTTTACAAGAATGAATCTGTGGAGAAAAACTTAAGCTAAGGCCCTTTATTAGGGAAGAGACTCAAATACATTCTAATGACATGGAATTCTTTGTATGAGAAGAACAGGATAGTTTAACAGGTCAAGAGATGAATGAAACTGACCTGGAGACAAGAAATAAGGCAAAAACGAGCTCTCAGGAAGCTGGAGTTTCTGCAGAGCTGAAATAGGGAAGCAGAAGGCAGTGAGTTCCTCAACACGTTCAGATCATGACCATAATTGAGAAAATCATGTAACTCTGCCCCCATGTACATGCAAGCACATATATGTGCCTCCCACATATTGAGTAGTACAATTCATCAATGATGATCTTATTATTGCAATACACTGTCATCTGAAGTGTTCTATTTTATTTCATTTCATTATTTCAGGTATGTTATTTTTCTCATTGATTTTTTAAGTGAGTTATGATTCGTGGTTTGAAAAAAAGGGCTGGGTGAGGAGGTCTGGACTAACTAGGGCTGCGTCCTTAAGAGTTTTGGTGAGGTTTTATTGAAAGACAAAATGTTTGGATGGCCCAAGCTAGTCAAGAAACTTTTGGTGAGCTGGCAGGTTGAGCTGTTTTACCCTTTCCATAGGAACTATGTGAACACCAGAGTCAGATCTAGGTATTTTCTACCTGGGTAAACTTGCCTCCATGACTTGGGGAACTTTCCCTGAAACCCTTCAGCTTTCAGGGTTCACAGCGATTAGAAGGGACAAGATATTGATACCACTGTGTGACACTGGTGACAAGCAGTCCTGGAAGATGCTACGTAGCTGCATAGTTATACTCTCTATATGCCTTGGTTTGAATAACAGCATGTCCTCCACAGGCTCATGTGTTTGAATATTTGGTCCCCAGCTGATGGCGTTGTTGTGTTTGGACATCGCTGTCAGATGTAAGGCAAAAGGGGCAAGACTAAAGAGCTATGGCTACCCCAGAGTTGACTGAGGCGTCCACCTCCTCATCTGTTTAGATAGATGCACAAACTCTGCCTCATGCTTTTGATGCTATGGAGTCATTACTTCAGACACCATGCCTTCTGCCATGGCGGCCTATACTGTATCAAACCATGAGCAAAATAAACACTTTAACGTCGGTTGCTGTGAAAACTGGAAAAGTAAACTAACGCGGAGGAGACAGTGCCAAACATCTGTGTAAAGATGAACTTAACAGGAGCCCCACAGATCTGTGTGTTCCGATAAAATAGTAAATGAAAAGAGCCCGTGGGTTTGAAAGAGAGCAAGAAGAATATGGGAGGGTTTGGAAGGAAGAAAAGGAAGAAGGACATATTGTAATCTCAGAAATAAAGGATATAATTAAAAAAAAACTAGAAAAACAAGAAAAAACCAGGGCCACTGTTGACAATGTGCTCTTACAGTTCCAGCAGTTCAGGAGCCTGAGGCATGAGGACCACTCAGGCCTCAGGAATTCAAGCCAGCATGGGTAATATAGTGAGACCTGCCTCAAAATGAATGAATGAATGAATGGATGAATACAATGGCTCTAAAGTCTTGGTACTTAATTGTGCTCAATTTTCTTTGATAGCTACCTCTCTCATCGTTTTCATTGATGATATTGTAAGACTCTTTTCTGGAATCAGCTTTTTACAGTTTTTATGCTTTTTAAATCTACTTTTGAGTTTATTCTTTCTGGTATTCATAGCCATTATCTTAGTAGTTCCTAATAGCACATGCATGCATTCACATATTTGTTTTTGCTTATTTTTAAAGCTGTTGCATTTATTAGCAATGGTTACAACATTACTGGTTATTCCAACAGCTCTCTGTTACTCATTTGACCTCACTGGTTTGGGATGAGCCACACTCAGCATGCAGCAGAAGAGACCCACTCTGTTTGTAGCCTGTGAAGCAGCACTGAAGGGCCTCTCAGAACTGCAGCAGTGCCCAGTGTTCCTGATTGGAAACCAACACCCAGTGGTCAACCAAAAATACATTTCTGCCTTTAAAAGTGTAGCTGGTACTAAATATTAAAGTTTTCTTTGAAAAATGAAGTTAAGCTGGGTGGTGGTGGCGCACGCCTTTAATCCCAGCACTCAGGAGGCAGAGGCAAGCGGTATCTGTGAGTTTGAGACCAGTCTGGTCTACAAGAGCAAGTTCCAGGACAGCTTCCAAAGCCACAGAGAAACCGTGTCTTGAAACAACAACAACAACAACAAAATGAAGTTCAGTTATCTGAAAACACTAGTATTCTCTAGTAATTCATAAATCTATAGGTAGCCTTTGGTCTTTCACTGATGCACACAAGCCCACATTCTGGGTCAGTGACTGCAGACAGGGACAGCAAAGAAACTGTGTCAGATAGTCAGCACTAGCTTGGAACAAACCAGGACCTATTGCCATTCTACAGTGTGTCTCGGGAAGATCTGGGAAGTTTTCAGTCCACTATATCAGGCATTGTTCTCAGCACACATTAGAAAACTATGAGGAACTTGGGTACAACTGATTTGTAACTGTCCCCATATTGGTCCCATCTTATTTAACGATGTTGAAGAAGAGCAACTCTCTTAACATCATGTTTTTCCAGGTTTAATGTCTGTGGTTGTCCGTATTTTAGGGTAGAAATGAGTGTTTGGGTTCAGAATTACCTGCTTTGAGTACAGTATAGGTGTCTTTACACCACTCTCATTTCTGCCAACAGTTTGTATTTCTTCTTTCTTATTTTCATCTGTTTTATTTCCTTCTCTTGTTTTACTGGTCTGGTTAACACTTGGAGCACTATAATGAACAAGAACATAGAAAGTGTGTATCTTCATCTCATTGCAAATTTTAGAGTAATGTTCTCAGCTTTCCCCATTCAGTCTAGTGTTGGCTATATGTTTGTTATATATAGCCTTTATTATGTTGAGGTATATTCCCTCTAAGTTTCCTTAGGGATTTTTACCATGATGGCTGTTAAAGTTTACTGTAGGTACTTTCTTGATCAAGTGAGATGGTCATATGGTATCTGATCTTAAATCTCTTTATGTACTGAATTACACTTAGTGGTTTGCTTATCTTGAACCAACCCTGCATTATTGGAAGGAAACCTCCTTGGTCACCCTACACAATTTCTTAATGTGTTCTTGAACTAGGTTTGCAAAATGTATATTGAGAATTTGGAGGTGGGCAAGGGTTATTTTGAGACAATGTTTCTCTGTGTAGCCCTGGAACTAGCTTTGTAGACCAGGCTGGCCTGGAAATCACAGAGATTCACCTGCCTCTGCTTTCTAGGTCATGGGATTATACAACCAGGGAGGTTGGTTTATAACTTCCTTTCTTTTTGTGTCCTTATCTGGCATTGTAGGATGTATTCTTTCTTTTTCTATATTATGGACTGGTTTCAGAAGCGTTGGTATTAGCTTTTATTTATAGATTATAAAAGTTTTCAGTGGCTCCTTCTGGCCCTGATTATTTTTAAATTGCTACTTCAATGTCATTGATTGCTTTGGGTATGTTGACATTGTCAATACTGTCTTTATTTAACTTCATTAGGTCATATGCATCTAGGAATTCATCTATTTCTTCTAGTTTTTCCAGGCTTTTTAGAATATAAGTTTTTAGCACATTCCCTAATTATTCTCTGGATTTAATTGGAATCTAAAGTAACTCCTTTTTCATTTGTCATTTTATGAATATGTATCTTTCCTCTTTCTATTTAGACTAGAGACTTAGCAATCTTATTGATTTTTTTAAAAGAACTGACTGTTTATTTGATTGATTTTATATATTGATTTACTAACATCCATTTTAATTCATTTCTTCCCTGATTATTTATGATTTCTTGCCATCTGATTCTTCTGAGTTTGGCTTGTTCTTGTTTTTCTCAGATCTTGAAGTACACCATTAAGTTATTTATTTCAGATCTTTCTAAGTACTCATAACATAAGATTTCCTCTTAAATTGACTCTATTAGATATCAGAATGGCTACACCAGCTTGGTTTTGGTTTCCATTCACTTGACAGGTTGCCTTCCATTGTCAATGCTCCGTCTGCAGACGTCTTTACTTGTGAGGTATGTTTCCTTGGAAACAATAGAGAGCTGGATGTAGGTTTGCTGTTTTATTTTTTAAAATTCAGTTATCCAAGCCTGTTTCTTTAAATTGGTGACGCCTTTACCTTTAAGCGTGTTACTAAAAGATGCTTACTAATTTCTATAACTTCGTTGGCTGCTCATTTGATTGGGTTGTTGTTTGTTCTTCATTCTCTCTCTAGCACTGTTAAGGGATTTCAGGCTTACTGTGCTAGGGCATTGGATCCCTTCCTGAGCTTCATTGTTCAGCCTTGCTCATGTGAGACTTAATCTTCCCTATACTCTTAGGAGAGGAGACTTTCCTTCTGTCTTTACTGTGTATAGAATATTCCTTTGGATACCTTGGCAGTCATGACCTGCCTTAGTTTGTTCTTGGTTTGAAATGTCTTTATCTCTCCAACAACTTTAAAAGATAGCTTTGCTGGATGTGGCCATCTTGATTGGCAGTTACTATCAAGGCCTAAAATATGCCATTCCATGCTTTCTGGCTTTTAAAATGACTAATGACATTTCTGATATTATTCTGATGTTTTGCCTTTGTAGATGATCTGATATTTACTCTTAAAATTGTTTGGGTTTTTTTGGGGGGAGGAGAGACAACAGGATTTTACTGTCCCTGGATGGCTTGGAATTTATTCTATAAACCAGACGGGCCTTGACTTAACAGAGATCTGCCAGCCTTTTCCTCCCTAGTGCTAGGATTAAAGGCCTATGCTACCATGCCATGCCTGGCTCTTCTCTTAAAACTTTTAACATTGTTTTGTTGCTCTGAATTTTTTTTAACATCTTTGCAACTTATATAACAGAGAGGTTCCTCTCTGGTCACGTCTATTTGGGGGTATTTGGGGGTTTTAAATGTTCCTTGCTTTTGAACATCTGTCTCTAAATTTGGGCTTCTAATGTTTATCTCAGCTCCTTCTTGTAGCCTATGGATTCTTAGGCTTGTTCTCTTGCCTGCACCCCAGAGTTCCTGAATGTTGTGATCTTGCTCAATTATGTCCCCCACCCCTATTGATGCTTGAAATGCAGATTCATGAACTCATTCTCCTATCTCTGATATTCTTTCTTGTGCTTGCCCCTGTCTATTGGGGATGCTGCCCACTGTGGTTTTATTTAATTCATTGGTGTTTTCATTTCCAACATTGCTTTTTTTTAATGTCTCAATTTCCTTGTGGAATTTTTCTTTCACATTGGTGACTTTTCAATGCACATTGCTGATTTTCTCATTCATTTTTGCTGGCTTTTCCTTTTATGGTCCTGACCTTCCTTTCCAGTTCTGGACTGAATTCATTAACTGGTTTGTATCCTCTTTCAGGGCATTGATCATTTCTACCATAAAAATTTAAAAATATTTTTAAAAGATTTGTTTTTTGATTTAATCTAATATGTATCCAATATAATGTATTAGATACTGTCTTTTTTTCTTTTTCTTTTCTGAGACAGGGTTTCTCTGTGTAGCACTGGCTGTCCTGGAACTTGCTATGTAGACCAGGCTGGCCTCAAACTCAGACATCTGGTTGCTTCTGCCTCCCAAGTGCTGGGATTAAAGATTTGTCACACCATTGCCTGGCCTAGATACTGTCTTAAATACTTTTCTAATGCTGTGACAAAATACCTTGATGAAGGCAATTTAAGAGGAAGAGTTTAATTGGGCTTCTGTCTTCAGGATGTTAAAGTCCATGATGGCAGAGCAAATGTGGCAGCAGGAACAGCTGAGCGCTTGCAGCTTGATCTGAAAGTAGGACGCAGAGAGAGAACACTGGGAATGACAGGACTCTTTTGAGGCTTCAAGCCCCCCTGTAGTGATGCTCCTCCTAGTCCTTTCCAAACACTTCCACAAACTAGGGACCAAGCAGTCAAACACATGAGCCTATGGGGGCCATTCTCATCCAGAACACCTCAGGTACCGTTAGGACATCCAGCATCTCCCTTTGGCCTCATTCCTCTCCCCTTCGTCGCCTTTTCCTCCAGATTCTTTTCCTCTTTCATGTCCCATATGTCCTTTGCCCATCCATTCTCTTCTTCACATGGGGACTACCTTGTCTTGTCTTTCAATTATTTTTGTGTCTGTGAGCTATGCTTGCTTGGGAGTCACCTGGTTTTTTCACATTTCTTGCAGTCTGCATTGGGGATTGCAGATTTGCACATCTGTTGCTTTGGATGCCCCTTCTGGTTTGTTTGTGGTGGTGGTGGGGTTCTTACTGACATCAGGCTCTTGAAAGCTGAACTCCCACAACCACTCAGCAGAGGGAAAACAAACTGCTACACCACATTCAACACAAAACCATGCAATAAGTAGAAATGTGCAGGGGGAAACATCAATTACAGCTTGGTAGTATATCCCAGTGACCTGACAACTGAAAATGGCAAAACTGCTGTAGAAAATGTATGATAAAGCCCACAGTTAATGAGGATGGGTGTTAAAATAGTAAATAAGTGAGATAAAGGAAAGAAAGAGAGTAGAAAGGAATGTTAAATAAAGAGGAGGCCAGAGAAAAGATTTGGGGTGGGGGAGACAACAAAGATTTTCCAATAATTAAAAATGTCTAAGCCAAAATTAGAGCAATAAAAATACAAATATAAGATTGTATTAAAAATTAAGATAAAGTAAATAGATAGTACTAAATGTATAGAAGCTAATAACAAGGAGATATGTCAAGAAAGGAAAACAAAAAATGTTGATCCCCAAACTTAAAACAATGTGTAAATAAATTAGATAAAGGAGAATAACAATTAAAATATAAAAAACTTAAAATAGAGGGGGGAAAAAGTAGAAATCCTGCTAAATGTAGAGTAAAAACCTAGAGAGCTGAAGACGAGGAAACCCGCCCTCTGCCTCAGGCTGACAGCTGTCAAACTCTAGGTTAGTTTTCAGTAGAGAAAATCTGTTTCCTCATCAAGGGCAGGGCCGTTTCTCCTTTTGCACGTGTCAACCTGAGCCAGCTTCTTGCCACCTGCACTCTTCATATTAGGTCTGCCCCCTTGCTCATCACAATTGCCTGTGTGGTCCTTCCCTCATGAAAGGCACTAGCAGGCTAAGTAACCTGAGGCTCCCTGGTCTGTGGATGTTCCCAACTGAACCCAAAGTAGCTCAGTTTTTAACAAATGCTTTGCTGTCCACATGGTGCCTGGCTTCTGCCACCCTTGTCACACAGTGTGACAAAATGGGATTTTCCCCACCTCTGACGTGCCCGCCAGATGAACTGCTGTCTGGCCAAAGCTGACAGCTGGACTTTGTTGTGGTATATTATTTTAACTAGGCAAAAAAAGGTGTGTTACTTTTGTTTATGCTGCATTGGTTTAATTATGTAAAGATGTGTTGCATTGGTTTCACCTTGCCTGCCTAAGTCACCTGATTGGTGTAATAAGGAGCTGACCAGGAGAAAGGATAGGCAGGGATAGCAGGCAGAGAAAAGAAATAGAAGAAACCTAGGCTTGAGAGAAGGAGGAGGACGGAGTCAGGGACATGCCTGGGATGAGAAACCTGGCAGACACCAGACAGACATAGAGAAGCAGGAAAGTAAGACACACAGAAGCAAGAAAGGTAAGAAGCACCAAGGCAAAAAGTAGACAAAGAGAAACAGGTTAGGTTAAAAGAGCTAGCAAGAAAAGAACTAAGCTAAGAGCGAACATTCAAAACTAATAATAAGCCTCTGTATCATGATTTGGGAGCTGATTGCTAGCCCCAAAACAAAAGCCTGGTCAATTCTCAACTTCAGTTCTGTGGATCCTAGGGCTTGAACACAAGTCATGGTGTTTGGCATCAGGTGCCCTTACCCACTGAATCGTCCAGCAGTTTCTCTAGTAGCATTTAAAAACAAAAACAGTGTTTCAGGTTTCAGCTGGATAATTATTGCATATACAAGACCTACATGTGTTTCTTTTTAGTATTCATAGCTATTATTTATTTTTCATGTCTTATTGCTTAATTTAATCTCCAAAACAATATTATTAACAGTGATAGTGTCTTAGTCGTATTCTTTAGTTTGCTGGAAATGCTTTTAGCACTTTTTATTTTGTACGCTATCCACTGGGTTAAACAGGTGGTATTTACTGTTCCCTGCAAAGCCAGTAAAATTGGATTAAATTAGAAAGGGTTCTGAGAGAAAAAAATATTTTAAGAAGAAAGGAATGATGAACTACACAGTAGCCACTCAGATAATAGGAGTGAATTAAAAAGGAAGATTTTGTTGTGAAGGCCTAAAGAGAGACGGGAAATAGCTGGAGAGAAGTCGAAGATGTTTTTTGTTCTGCTTTGGATTAGGTATTTATTTGTTTTTCTTTTCAGACAGGGTCTTACGGCCTCAAGCTTCTTATATAACCAGTGACCTTAAAGTCTTGATCTTCTGGCCTGTTGCTCAGGCTCTGGGACTACAGGCCTGAGATACCATGCCTAGCTCTAGATTTACTTTTGAATGGCTGGTGACGTTAAACCATTACAATTCTTTATTACACTTATTTATTGGGGGCAAAGGGGCAAGCGTGAAGGTCAGAGGGAAACTTCCTGGAGTCGGCTTTCTCCTCTTACTATGTAGGTTCCAGGAATCAAATGCAGGTTACTAGGCTTGGCAACAATGCCTCTACCTACTGAGCCATCTTGCCAGCTCTTAAATCATTGTTGAAAGCTGTTGTATATAATCCAGTAGTGAGGAAAACCTGATAGAGGGAAGAATTTTTGTAGAAAGATGAGGGAATGAGATTGTGTCCACAACAGCATATGATTCAGATACAGCAGGGGCAGCTGTATTTGTTTATGCCTCCACCCCTAAGCCTGCCCTCTACCCCTGATTCACAATCCCAGCCCAGAGCAAGAACAGTTTTCCTATAGTAATAGGAGGGAAGGCAGAGTACAACAGATAGACATCGGTAAGTGGGCCACTGTAGTCACTCTTCTTAGTACATGCGAACGTTTCCTAGGTAATTCTGGTGAATGGGAAGGCTTCAAAAATCAGCAGTCTACAGTTAGAGCCGTGCAACCCCAGGTGTACACCTGCATCTTGGGTTTCCTTTCTGCCATAGAACAAAGGTGTTTCTAGAACATTCTGAAGTGACAGGAAAGAGGGCATGGCCTGTGATTTGTAGGCCTGACTGAAGCTGTAATGATCTCTCTGGTCTGCCTCATTTTCCTATGGATACGCTCGAACATCTCTCTCTCTCTCTCTCTCTCTCTCTCTCTCTCTCTCTCTCTCTCTCTCTCTCTCTCTGTGGCACTTGTTTCAGATACAGCAGGGAGAAAAACTGGAGAAGAGACAGAGGGTAGAGGAGAGGGAGAAGAATAGGGAAAAACAGAAGGGGAGGAAGAAAGGGAGAGGGGAAGGGAGAGGAGGATGGTGAAGAAGGAGGAGTAGGAGAAAGAGAAAGAGAAGGAGGAGGAGAAGAAGGAGGAGGAGACAACGAGGACCAAATTTCTTTGTAAAGGGAAAGAGGCTTGCTTTTTTATGCCTTTGCTGAGGGCTCCACCAGTAGACATCAAGGTTTAGTTGGTTTCTCAAACCTGACAATCATCATCCCAAGGAGAGACGCTACAAGCAAAGGCATTGTCCCTCAGTGATGCCAACTCCTCCCTGAAGCAGAAGGCATGGACTGGAGGAAACCGTTGTATAGTCTGGAGGTTTGGTTTTCCTCACCACCTAAACTTGAGTCAAAGGGAAGACCCTGAGATGAACCTGGCAGGCAGGGTATTTTCCTGTTCCACATCCTCCACAGAGGTAGACACCCCACCCTAGCCATGGAGGTAGTCTGTGTATCCAGACATAAGCAATGGGGCATGGGACAGAATGACCCAGAGAATCTCCCTGACTTTTCAGTTCTGGCAATTACTCAGTAATTAACACTTACTTCCTCCAGCTATTTCTTTAGGAGTCTCTCCCAGGAGTGAAAATATAGGAATCTCCTGTTTCCGAAGGGCAGTGCCTACAGGAGAAAGATTCCACATAACAAGCCGGTTGGAAGGAGCCTAAGTAGACACTCCAGTTCTTATTCAGCCCCTAGCATTGTAGAGCATAGGACCCTGATATTCAAATGCATATTTCATAGTTTCTCATTCCACAGTTTGGAGGAGGACCATGTGCTATGCATGAGTCATTCACTCACGCTCATCGCATGAAGAAAATTACATTTTCCCCAGTTGCCAAATGGAAGAGGTGAGTTACTCACATGGGCAAGTACAGCACTGCATCAAGCAGTTTCTAGACCCCAGACTCTGAGCTAAAGCACACAGAATGGAGACTCAGAGACTTCCTGAGTCTTGGGTCACATTCTTCAGTCCCACTCACCAGACCATCTTCTGACACGGGTGGATTTACTTTGTGGGATATTTGCCCTTCTGTCTCTTTTGCATAAAACATATCTTGAGGCCTCTTTTTCTTCCTTCCAAGGAGAGATGTTTTAAAAAGGAATACACCAACACAGAACACTGCTATCTCTAACCTATTGGCTACCTACATACATATGATTAATGGCAATTGTATCTGCAAGGTAATTACAACTACCATCTGTACCCTTAATATGACTACCACTGAGCTAAACACTAGTTGCAGCTTCCAGTGCACGTTCTAAGTTTTATGCTTTTACCTGTGTTACCCAAAGGTAATTTCAACAGTTAACTGTTAAGCACCCGAAATTGTACCAGTCTCCAGCCCAGGATGAGGCAGAAATAAACACACTATATAGCAGACTGAGAAATGTACAAGTGCAGCCCCCATCCTGAGTGCTTTGGTTGGGGGAAGGAGGGCTCATGGGCAGCTAAAGCCACTGGTGACCTCATTATACAATATTTAGTTCATCACCACCCTCCCACCCCCGCGTAGGAAAGCAGCTTCCCATTTTAAAGGGATGGAGGCATTCAGTCATTCAGTGACGCATTTACTTGTTGGTGCACAGCTCAAACACCAGTCGCCACTGAAGTTTGGGGTCTGGAGGTTTCTCAGGTTTTTCTCTGGCTACCAAAGTCTTGGCACTCATCTGTGACTTTTACTTGGTTCCCACGAACCAGGACGGGTGCACAGCCCAGGCAACTGGCAGCACATCCAAGGCCAGCTAGTGACCTGAGCTCTCATAGCGTCCCCTCGACCCTAGGCCAGGGCACGGTTCTGGCTTACTTCAGTCTCCCCTGCCTGGGGCCGTCCAGTTCCAGCCGGCTCTTTCTCTCCGCCCTCAGTCTCAGCAGCTACTGGAGAGGGCTGACCAGGAGTAAAGACCAGACTCTGGCCGGGGCTCAGGAAGAGCTCCACTTATCGTCATCCTTTCCTCTGGGAGAGGGTCTTGAGGTGATCCCCCCAACCCTGCAGGAGTCAGAACCAGCTTCTGGAGCTACGGGGGCCCTGGAGAGCAGGTACCCGGCAGGAAGGTCAGGCTGCCCCGGGATCAGACTCCACAGAGGAGGTGTAGGAGCCGGGCTGCTCAGGTGAGGCTGCCTCTTGGTTTGGGTCTCCAATGGACGGTCCCAGTATGGTTCCCCGGGGTCCTCAGTCCCCCTCGCCGCAGCAGGTGGGGGCCCGGGCCCGGGAAGGGGCGGGACTGGGGGCGGAGCCGCGGCGGGGACAGTATGGGTGGGGGCTGAGCCCGAGCCCAAGCTGGACTGTCGGGGAGTCGGGGAGCTGGCGGGAGCTCACCCGCGCCTGGGCTGGAGCAACCGGGCCGAGAGCGCCGGCGCCGCCGCCGCAGACAAAGGGCCGCCGCGCTCCATCTGTCTCGGTGAGTGGCTCCCTGCTCGCCCTCTTTCTTCTCCCTCTGCCCGCGCCTCCCGAGTTCCGCGGGCTCCCGACAGCTGGGAACAGCAAGGACCGGACTTCTCGGCTCACTCTGCACCCTAGCCTCACCTGACCTGTGATTCCCCACCAAAGGCCGATCAGACACCCAACTCACGACTTTCAGAGTGCTGGCCGCGGTCTCCGGCGGGACCCACCCGGGCCACCTTTCGGTGACCTCTTCCTCTGCGCGCCGTGCGTGGGTGCTGTCCCTGGGTCCCCAGTTTGGGTGGGAAGCTTGCGGCTGGGCTTCTCTGTGGGTGTGTGATAGGGGAAGAAGACCTGGGGGGACGGACGCTGGGCGGCACGAAGCGACCCCACCCCTTGGGGACAGAGCGCACTCGGGGTCTCAGAGGGGTGGTTCTCGAGTTCTGATTCGTATCGTGGTTTGGGTGTCTGGTTCAGTTCTCTGGTAGCCTCTCCTCCAGCTTATTTCTCTGTTCAACCGGTAACCTAGCATTTGTCCGGCCGCACCCGAAAGAAGCGTCCCCTTTGCGGGTCGTGGCCCAGGAAGGGAGAGGACCCTGCTGCTTCCCCTGGCTGGGCTGTGTGGAACCCGCAACTGCTGGGGAGGGCGGGCAGCGGCTGGGGGCTGACATCACTGCTCCCTCTGCCTCCGGCCGGCTTGATCTCCATCAGAAAAGAATCGGAAGCCCGGCGGGCTTTGCTTTTGTTCTCTCTGCTACTCTGGAAGCCTTGGAGAAACCTGGGCGGGTGGTTACCCAAAGAGGGGGTTGTGGAGAGAGTTCCAGGTGCTGCCCCGTGACAATCGTTGGAAGAGGCGTTTTCCAGCCTCTAGATTCTGATTGCTCATCAATACCCTGGAGCGGAGGTGGGTAGAGCGTCCCCAAAGTGTGTGATGCCTGCTGCAGCCGCGCTTGTCACGCGCTTCTCCTGCACTCTGGAAAGCGCTACCTCGAGACGTGCATTTCCATTCATGGATCTCTGCCTAGGTTTTGATTAATGTCATCTGTGCCAGGTTCTCTAAGAATGAGTGTTGGTTGGTATTTGGTTTTGTAGCTATTTACCGGAAGCCTACTGTGTGTCTTAAGCGTAGCTTAATTTTCCGAGATGCTTATTGAATACCTACTATGTGCAAAATGGATGTGTCATGCCGTTTTCAGTTTGACAGGTACTTGTTGAGTATTTCCGATGTTGGAGGAAGCTGTGTTATGACCCTGTTATTGTAATCATTATTTAGGGGAAACTAATATGCAAAGGACATTTTTGGCCAAATGGTTGTCAAGTAGGACACCTGCGAAGTGTGTTTGTGGGGGGGTTGTAGATAGAGAAAAGAAGGGGAGACTGTAATGGGTCTGTAACTTCCTGAAAACACTGCAATTTAACTTTATAGATTATGGTGTGGTGTGAAAAGAGCTTGTGTCTACACTGCAGGCAACTTAAGCTTGAATGCTTGAGGGTTGGTCGGACAGGAACAAGGCAGATTAAGGAAAAGAAAAAAAACTTTGCTCATTATAACAGAGAATGAAACAAAGTTTATTTGTGCTAAGGAGAGAATCTGTTGAAGGCAGAAAGACAGAGAGGGGGACAACCAACTCAAGAAGGAAGGAATCAGCAAGGAGTGAATGAGGAAGAACGACGGAGCCACCCACACTTATGTCAGCTGGGTAGCTCACACTGCTACCAGGGCCAAGACCCCGTCCTTACAAATGCTTGCTTGAGAGATTTAGGAGCTAACCCAGGGTCTTGATTTACACTGATCAGAAAATTATAGACCTCAGTATAATAGATCTAAACACCTATGTGTTATAACTGCAATCTAAGGAAATGTATTTTAAGACACAGTCCTTATCTTGAAATACCTGATAGAGTTTAAAATATAAACTTGTAAAATTGCAGTTTGAGGGCCTCAAGACAGGAAAGCCAAAACAGGAACATGCAAAAACAAAACAAACAAAAGGAACCTTCAGAATTGTGGCTTTTCTTTATCAGAAAAATGGAGATTTTCCATTTGTCCTGTATGTTTATCTCTTGACATTGACTTTCAGCAGTTTCTGGTAACAATGAACTTTTTCTTCTTCAAATCATTTCTGATTTATATGGTAACTTCTCTTAAAACTACCTGGCATTATTTTTGTTACGAACTTAACTCCCCCACCCCCACTGGAGTCTTTACTGGAGTAGACGTGTAAGAAAAGCTTCATAGAAGATATGGTAAGCTGCAAATGAATGTGCTTTGCAGGCTCTGTGCTCTCTAAGGAGCAAAAGGAAGGAAAACCAAAGGACTCCAAGAGCAGGAGTCTCTAGAGAAAACATAAGGCGGCATTACAAAGATGAAATAGGATTCCATCTGAGGGGAATGGCAGTTAGCAAAGGTGTCAGGGAAAACGGGGCATCTTTCGGAGCTCTGAGAAGGTGCTAGATCTTCATCTGGAGGGGTTTCCATTCCAGAGAAGTGCTACCTGAGAGTCATTTACAGAGTGATGTACTGTTAGGTGTATTGTGAGCATCACTCAGTTTGAGGTTCTGTGAGAATCCCCTAGCTGCCCTAGCAGCTGACCAACCCTGCTCCCCTCCCCCATTCTTTCCAGCATTCCTGGAGTGTTTTCACCTGAGCTGAGCTTGACTGTAATCTTCCTCCAGGCCAGGAATGTTACTTTTTCTCCCTGCGTCTGTCCTTCCCTACACGCTACTGCCTACTGTCTGTGGAGTAGGTGACACTTCAGAGTCTCCTGCTCCCCCTTTCTTCGCCCTTTCCCTCCCTACTCAGGTTCTCCCGTCCTCTTGACCATTTCTAGCTGCTCTAGGCAGGCCTTGCACTATCTGAAAACTGGTCTCAGGGCAAAGCAACCTGCTACCAGTCTATTTGTCCTGAGTGTGAATGCAGGTCACTGTTCTGTCTTCGGGGGTCCTTGGTCTTTAAGTCTATTCAGGAGTGAAAAGCTGCCTCCATGGTGTGGATGCCAGGTGTTGGAAGTGATGGGTAGGCAACATGCCTTCCTGCCACTCCTGGAATGGTGGCAACTCAGTCCAGGGTCCTGTCCTGTGATCCATGTACATCCAGGCTTCAGTCTTCTTTTTGCACAGGGTCTCGCTGTGTAGTCTAGACTCATCAATCTCAAACTTTTCCTTTCTTGAGTTTCTGGGTGTAGGCATGCTCCACCATGCTCACCTTCTTCTCTTTGACATATAATTTCCATTTTCCCCTCAGAGGCTTCATTGCTTTTTATCATGACATGGTAGCTGATGCCAGACTGTAGCTTTTTGTGAACAATTTGTCAACAACTTGGCCTTCACAAGTTCTTCCCCAAGGTCTATAGATTTGTTATTTTGCAGTGGGAGTCTGCTTCTCTCTCCACACATGTCCATTGCTTCAAGACAGATTCTTAACCATGGCTCTCAGACTTTGTGATTCCTTGTTATAGGAATGGTGATAGCTGTCCTCATAGAAATACCTTGTCTAGTATTTAGTTATGTCCATGGCTTCTACCCATTGGATGCTTTTAGCCTGTATCGTCACCCATTCTAAATGGTGACAACCCAAAATATCTCCAGATATCAACAAATGTCCCTTGGGAGAAAAGTTAATCCTGTTTGAGGACCACTGTTCTATGGAATACTGGATATTATAGATCATGCTGTAACATAACTATCCGGGAGAGGCTTTATTTCTTGTTTAATAAATGTATGATTAACTTTGTAGAACTTTCTATATAAATAATTTCAGGTCAGAATTGGCATTCTCTGTTAGCACACATACTGGAATTCCATGATCATATTGTTAAGTTCATTTGTGAAGCAATTCTTCCCCTCTCATATTCCTCCCTTAGTGTCGCACTAACTTACCTACCAGAAGTGTGGGTAGCAGAACAGTCCTTGGCAGCAAGCATACCCCACAGGAATGTCTGAACCTGATGTTTGGGTAGTAGCTGGTGGTCAACAGCAGGGCAGGGAAGTGGTGGTAGAGGTTGAATTCTGCAGGGATTTGCTTATGTAATTGGGAGATGCCCTATTTAAGAAAAAGGCAAAATGACCAGGCCTTGGATAGGCCCTCTGACCATCAAGAAGGGGCTTGACATATATCCAACATTAGCATCAACAGCATCACTGTAGGCTGGAAAGAGGGCAAGGTTAGTTCAAGTTCAGCCAAGTTGCAGCCATAGAAGTTACTTTTGTGCCTTGGGAGGCCAAACAGTGTCCAACTACTGCTTCAGAAAGTGAATGAAGCGTGTCTTCAGGTCATGGGAGGGTCACTGAGAAGTTTTAGTAAGAATTCACTGATTTGGAGTTCTCTCTTGGGATTCTCAGGCTTAGACTGAGACTTTTCCATGCAGTGAAGATAGACCAAGCAGGAAATATTTGCTCTCTTATTTTAGGGGAGTGTCGTTGGTGGTACACAGGCAATTTAAGGACTTGTGGGCTAAATAATGGAACATTAAAAACTATATTTTAGATTTTAATTAATTCATCAATAAAATTAATCTTTTTGCCTTGGTTGAGAGCAATCTATTTTCATTATGTAAATACACCTACCTGGCTCTGTATGAGGTTAATCAGTCAATGTATTAAAGTCTAGATTAATAAAAAAATAAGATTTGCTATTATTGGGGGGGCATTTAAAAATGCTATTTTATTTTTAAACTGACACTTTACATGAATGTTTTAAAGAGTTGAGACCTATTGAGGTTTTTTTTTTTTTAATATGTATACATTCATGGAAAATAGAACTGAAGATTTAAGGGGCACCTGAGCAGTTAGATGTCTTCTCAGGGTTACAGAGAGGACCGTGAGGAGGCTGGGCCTGGCAGCCGGGAGTTTGCCCATCTTTCTGATGCTCAGTGCTGCTGGGATACTCCAGCCTTCTGGTTGCCAGAGCTTGTCGTTGGGAAGGGAGGAGGCAAGAAAAGGGTTTAATTGCTTGCCTGATTTCCAGGGCATGTCACTCATAGATTCAGACTAATTACATTGGTGCCAGGTGTGTGTACACGCTCCCTTTTCTGAGATGTGTGTGCACACGCTCCCGGTTCTGAAAACAACCACGGGGAAACCCCAACAGTTGGATTGAGGGAATGGAATTGTTTTATAGAACTTATTTTTAGCTCATTTTAAAATACCTTTACAGGGATGACAAGAATGATAATATTTATGTTTCTGTTTAGGAAAGTAATACATATTCATGAGTATCAAGAATAAACAAGTATATGCACTTCTTTGACCCCACTCATATTTTGCTTTTTTAAAAATGGTTTTCTTGGCTCCTTTTTAAATAAAATTGAGACTATGTTATACATACAATTTTAATTTTAATCCCTTTTCAGTTAATACTAGAACAAATGATACTCATGATTCAAACTCTTGGTAAATATAATTTTAGATGAATGGGTAATTTCTGTATTTGCAAGCTCCTTAATGTATCCCAATACTTTGCTATTAGTAGATACTAAATTTCTCTCCAAGTTCTCCCCACTGAGTCATTGTTCCTATACTCTTTTTTTTTAGACTTTATTTGTTTATTTATTTATTCTGCCTCCATGTGTGCTTGCAGGCCAGAAGAGGGCACCAGATCTCATTACATATGGTTGTGAGCCACCATGTAG